TTTTTACGAAGATATCCTTTCATTTTACTGAGCTATTTAAGGACAAATGAACAGATTTAGGAAGTAAGTTTCCGAAAAAAATTGTGGTGCTGCGTCGGTGGGGTTTTCTTTTTTGGTTTTTATCAACCGAGTTGATGATTTAAATTCGTCAGACGAAGGGCTAACGCTCGAAAAGTCCGGTTACCAATTTACACGATAAACGACTTAGTTGATAAAAACAAATTATCTCATTTAAGGACAAACTCTGACAGGTTGTGGTATATCGATCTCATCCAGCCACTCAAGGCAATTAGCAATCCCTGAAATTGCCCTCATTTCAGAATCTGACTGTTTATGAATAACAGAACAAATCGAAGCAGAGCCAAATACAATTAAAAAAATACTAGTTAGGAATCATTTGAAAAAGCTTGTTGGAGAATATAATGTTGCGTGACAGTGACGTTAGGTTGGTTGAGGAGTACAGTAATTTAATGCAACTCGATTTAGCGTCTGTTTTGTGTGACCTGAGAACTTAATTTCACAGCTTTCTTGCGTAATAACTTTAGTGTAACCTTTGAGCTGAAGCATTACTATTGCACGACACTCTTTTTTTGTCTACATAGATCTGTTACTGTTGATAAACCTTTTTGTGATATAATGAAGTCCGGCCGCCTAGAGGTATACATGACATGGTTTCCCTTCGCTACAAAGTGACAAAGACCACTTCAACGCACTCACCTCCTATCAGTTTATTTTCTCCGCATATCTGAAAATATAAGATTAAATGAAAAAGAAAGTCATCCTTATTTTGTTAAAGGGGCGTCTCCCGTTTGGGCGCGTGCAATCTTCTGGGACACTGACATTGTTGAGGAATCATGAAGAATAAGAGTGGTGCCCGAGGTTTTAAAGTTATTTTTAACACGACAGGCTTCATAAGCGAACAATCATATGAAGTGTATGCTTCGTTCTATGACACCACGCTTGGTTAATAACGCGCATATATCATGACCGTTACCTAAAGCAGGACGGTGAAGGATTATGTGGCTACGTTGCGCTTAGCAGTCCTTTGTTTTCCAAAATCGAGTATCCTTTAACATACTTACTTTCTATTTTGAACTTTTGACGGGGATGGAAAGGAAAAACCTGCAAACCTCAAAACTCGCGGCCAAACTGAACATGAACTTTCGAATCGCGGAGGTAATATTTTTGCGCGAAGCAGTTGCTTGCTGACGTCACAAGCGTGCACGATAAGGATATTCGAGGCACGTACGCGTGTACGGTATTGATTTTACTAGCTTGACCACCAGCTAGATCTCTCGCCAACTCGCGTTGCTCGAGACGCCTTCCTTACTTTGCACGGATGAACGGAACGTCGGCTTACCCTTCTTTGGATCGCAAATTCTTAACCTACGCAAACCGATCGAAAGGGGCGTTAAAATATACTTAATTTGACATTGAAAATATTTCAGTTGCCTTTTGTAAGTCTGGCATTGTAATAAGCTAATTTACATGTCACCGCAATGTCAGCTATTGATTAATGCCGATTAAGGCGGTGGCTAAATGCTTGACAGTCTGAAATTTTTACTGAATTTCTACTGAAAGGTTCTTTAAAACTTGTTAAGAGTATCAGATGTTTGTTGAGAAATGTCAAGCGATTCTAAAAATTATTTTGGTTCTCAGCAATGTACAAATTTTCCGAGCTTCTGCATGCTATAAAATTCCTCGGTTGTCGAAACTCTGCGCTTTTGTTAATTACCTTCCAGAACTGCTTGATTTCCACTCCCGTCGTTTTCGATGGATATGCAATAAACTCCTCGGCTATATTAAGCCATTTTCGAAACACATTATGCGAGTGTTCTCCCTGGAAGTCAATGGTGGTCTCAAAGTAGTAGAGCAGTCCCATGATGCTGCCTGTAAGCTAACGACTTCTCTACGGGAAACCGAGGTGAAGGGTGTAAGCATTTGCAGTAACTTGACAAGCTGTATAATAGGCCTTGAGTAACCTGGCAATTTTGCGTGAGAGCGGCATGTCCAATCAACAATTTTCTTTTTGTTTTTCGGGAAGCAAGAGGGGGTGGGAGAGGACAAAATTTATAGCAATTTGAAAATACTGAATTACAATGTGGAAAGAAAGTATCGCACGTGAATAATGATAAGGTCAACTCTCTCTCTCTCTCATTACGCAACCACTTTCCTTACCACCTTAACAGTGAACGTTTTGTTTCACAATAAACACACGGAAACGTTTCAAAAACTCTCACCGCTCGATCCTCTTTACAGGCCGTTCTTTAGAAGCAAAGAAACATTTGCCTGGACCATTCAATTATATTTTGTCTTAATGTATTCCGACAACGATCACGGCTGAGCGCTATCCAGATTTGCTCTCTGAACTTGCAAGACGGGCCGTACTTTTAACGTTAGGTCGCCACCCGGATCTGTGTTCTCATGGAGTTTGTTTTACTGAGTCTTTATCTGTCAAGTTTCTATTTAAAGGTTATTTCGGTTTCAGTACAGCTTGTAATCTTCCTTTTAGTGTCCATTGATGTATGCTTAATGCGAAGAGCCCTGATTGAATGCACAACAAGGCGGTTTTGAAAAATCTCACGCGAGCCTATCATGCCATGATTCTGGCATGTCCAACGGCCGAGCGCTGGCTAATCCCAAAGAGAGCCAAAAGCTGAAATGGGGCAAAAAAAAAAAACCTTAAAGTGCAGTGCACTGGAAACAACTTATGTAAATTATTACCTTGAATCGAATGGATTTTCATTTCAATTTTAAATGAATAAGAAAATTGATCAGAAATTGCATGGTTTGAAGTTTCGTCACCAGAAGTGATCCCATGCTTAACTCGCCAAATGTGAATCAAACCATAAGTCACGGAGTAGTATTTTATACATTCGATTGCAAAAGCGTTGACATCTGAAAAGCACGACCGGCGAACGATGAGACCAAGTCAATAGTGACCCCAAATACACACTTGTGAAAACTTAAGAAAAAAATTGAATCATTCAGTTTAATTTATTCTTTGAATCAAATAAATCATATTTGTTAGAACAGCGGAGTTTTCAAATTAATCAGAGGAAGGAAAGATCATTGTGCCGGAATAAGCCAAATATGAATGGGGTAAAAAAAATTATCTGGGCAACTGCCCACCTACCCCTGCCCTAACCCAACAATAGTCTATTGATAATAAGTTAGGGTTAATGTTGGGTTAGGGGAGGGGTAGGTGGGCAGTTGCCCAGATACTGATATTGATCCAAAAAATCTATGTGATGAAACACATATTTTCAGATTAGTTATCTGTTTTCCGCAGTACTTAGCCGCGAGGAAGACATTCGAAATTGTTCTTTCTCTATTTCCCTGACTTCTCTCATCCAGTCGTCAGCCTGGCGAATAGACTTGCATGTGATCTGGACTTTGTCACCCATCTTTTTCATGACAGGCAATTCAAATGATATCTTGTCCAAATCTCCTGGTTTTTCAACACACACAATGGCAAAAACCTATAAATAGCAGATCAGATCTTTTAGCCACCAATCTTGCCAAGTCATTTTTAATCAATACGCATATTCGCATAAAGGTTAATAAAAAATAGATAAATAAACAAATAAATGAGCAAAAGTCTTAGGAAAGTTTAGAAGACTTTAGCAATGCTTTAGCGGACTGCAGCTGTATTATGTAGTAAGCAAAACCTGCAATCGAACTGTTCGGTTGAGTTCATGCATTTAAGGTTGCATCATCTGAAACAACTCTGAAACCCATGCAAAGCCTAACTACAATTATAAGCTATCCTCCTTTTTGGAAAAAAAAAAGAGGAAAAGGCAAAATTTAGAGCCAATTATGGAAGTCAAATTGATATTACCTTTCGTTGTGCTACCACTTTCCACAAGTCCCTTACAATTCCAGATTTCTTCGCTCCTAAAGCAGCTTTCCCTTCTTCAAACCAGACTTTGAAGAGGTCTTCTTGAGTCATGCCTGGAGAAGGAACAAAAACTAAATTTCATAATCAAATCAAGGCTACAAAATTATCCTTGACACAAGCAAGAGGACCTCTGTCGCTGCGTGGAACCTAGTTTAAAATTAAAGGAAGACCTAACGTCGTTAACCGCCTGACTGAATGACTGACTTACTGACTGTCCGGTAGCCTTTGTAGTTGGCGATTTCAGTTAGGTGCGCTAAAGCGATGAACAGCGAAGATGGGAAAGGCTCGTCAAAGGCAGACTTTCAGTACAGAAAGTTTCATCATTACCTTCATATTCCACTGTAAAAGTGAGAAAGTAATGTAGACCATTTTTTGGTACACAATGCACAAGACTGATATTGGTATCTTCCTCCAGCCAGTCTCCAACATTGGCGGCAAAATCTTCATAAGGTCTCAATGGGGTGAACACAGTAGAGATTCCGTTTACTAAGTGTTCATAAGAAGACGCAACCCAAGAATCCAGCTCTCCTGGCGAATCCACACTGATGACTGCAGAAAAATGACGAGACGCATTGTTCAGAAGAGCGATCGATCAGCAAGTGAAAAAATTAGATGAAATTCCAAAGAAAGAAACCTATAGGGATACCCATTAGTAAATAAGCCGTGCTTTTCGTGACAGCAGTTGTTTCTTATGTTCTTCTTTGAAATTTTGCGCGAGAAATTGGCGAGCAACCGGCTAAAATTGATCCCCCCTACGCATGCCGTAGGTTTGACCGGTGTGCATGTTCATCACTCGCGCCGCAGCGTTAATAAAAAACTTCACGTAGGCAATCGAGTACTCTGGCATCGATTCGCAGTCTTATATTCTCACCTCCTATCAGTTTGTGTTCGCCAGGAATCTGTAACCACAAAGAAAAACAAGTAAATGAGACGTTACAGGCACAGTGTGCCGCACGTTGCGTGATGCTCGTCACATAAGGCTTAATTTTATATGCTGCATATCTTTGATTTAATATCTTAGCCTATATGACTATGGGCTCAGCAGAGACGATATGCAAATAAACAAACACGAAAGAGAGATCAGGTTAAAAGTATAAACTGACCTTCCAAATCTCTCTGATGGATAGTGAGCGCGAGCCCTTGAGAGCATTATAGAGAGAAAGACACGAATGAACATATCCCTGTTCATTGAGCTTCGCAGTAGATTCAAAAAAATAGAGCAACCCCATTACTTCTGTGGTGGAATTTCGGTTACAAAGAATATCACTCCGCACAGGTTCGTATGCAGGAATTGGAGCAAAAAGTAGTGATCCCAAGTTCGACACTAACACTTAGATAAGCCCGCACCAAAATTAGTATTTTGAATGCTGAATTTTTATCATCACGTCCAGTTTAACCTGTTAAATATACGTAGTTTTGCTTGCTAATTACTATGTGGGCTAATTATAATTTCTTTATGCCATCGTTTATTGTTAATTACGTATGAGTCGGTAGGCTTGCTATTCTATTCGGCCAAAAAAGAATAGAGCAATATTTGTGTTCCTTTCTGAAAATATTTTTGCTTTTTTTGTTTCCGTTTCTTCGTGATTCGCAGCTCAGATCTTGCCAAAATCTTAACATATCTTTTTCCACGTGTGTTTTTTTCCAGTTTCGTAATCAAAAGTGATCAAAAAGGAAAACATTACTCTATATTAGCTTTCATGAAAAAGCTAAGCCAATATACTCGCTCCGGTTGGTTGAAAATCCATTATCTATTGTAAAGAGAAACCCATTGCTTTCTTATGACGTCAATAGGGAGCCTTTTCTGTCGTTTTACCAGGATATTAGACCACAGAAAAGCTTCTTAATTACGAGCCGAAGGCAAGGTATTTTACAAACTTTTCTCGTGACCACTGACATGCGAAGTAGTTTATTTTCCCGATAAACCGATAGAAAGTGCGGTGTAACGCTTGAATATGTTTTGATTGCTACAAGCTCCTTTCTTCAATTCTTTTTGTTACTCTCCATGACACGTAACCGAAAAAATATAGGAACCTAGGTAGTAGCGAATAAGTTGAAAAATTACATTTAGATGTATAACAATTTTACAAGTCTAATTATGAAGGTCCTATAGCAAAACGTCATCAGATATTAAACCACGTGTTAAACATAGAGTTAAATTAATAAAATGGGATTTAGCAGTGGACATTCCACGAAGTAGCTCTTCTCGTCCGCTGTTACCAGGTCAAATTGTAATTTAGAATGTTGGTTTTTGTAGAGAGAAGAAAAACGAGTGACCGGAAAAAAACCCTCAGAGCAAGGACTTAGAACTAACAACAAACACAACCACATGTAATGCCGGGTCCATGAATCGAACTCGGGCCACTATGGTGAGAGGCAAGCGCCATCCCTGCTCCCCTGCTGGAGTTGATTTACTGGTTCCGGAATGCTATGCCGAATTTTATCCTGCACAATTAGCCTTTGAATCCAGACTGTTCTGGCAACAGTCAGCGTGGTTCTACCACTGATTCAGTAAGTGACCTTCTCACCACATTAGCCTTTTTCGAACTTTATATTCACCTCAATAGTATTCCTCTCCATTTCCTTTGCTGTTTGGCGGCAAAACCCGTTTGGGGCTAACACGGGGAGTGCCCTTTCGAGAATGGGCGTGGTACTATTGGTAAATGCTGCTGGCACTACAGGCGAGGTGTAGCCATCATTCATATGCCTTCAGTACCCTTTCACGGTAATCACTGCCGTTTTTCTTTCATGCGAGTGCCTACCATGAAAACCGCCGTCGCGCAGGAAGCACATAAAGAGGAAGAAAGTACGTTGAATAAACACAGACTTTGCAAGATTTGCTTTTCTTATTTTACTGTATTTATCATAATACCCCTCATATGACGAGCCAAAACTTCCTTACATATAACCTTCCCTGAATAACGCAAATCTGTTCTGGCTTCTTTTCTACAATATTGCTTAGATTTTAGTTCACCGACGAGGATCATTGCCTTAATTAATTTTGATCCGCAGGTGAAATGAAATGAAATCTATTTACAATGGTCAGGTAGACTTATGGCGTTATATGTTTCACGCCTGACTTCTTTGATCCAGTCGTCAGCTTGGCGAAGAGACTTGCATGTGATATGGACTTTGTCTCCCATTTTCTTCATGATAGGCAGGTCAAATGATATCGCGTCCAGATCCCCTGGTTTGGAAACACACACAATGGCAAACACCTGCAAAATAACAGCCTCGTCATTTATTGCATCCCACAATGATAAATTTACTGCGGTGATTATGCGCTTATAAGCACATGCTGATACGCCAGCGGGAACCAGGCTTAAACGATCGCAAAGGAGCAGTTTATCGCCAATCATTTCACGTTTTACAGAAACAAAAATTTCCGAATTTTTTGTTTTGTAGAACATCAGTGTTAGGCAGAACAAGTTCGATCTGCCGTTGAAGGCGTTTTATGTGTTTGGATTGCAAGTTAACGGCCGGTGGGAAGTCTTAATCCGCCCTCTTACACTCCTTCCGCTCGACAAAATTAAAGCGTTGCAACAAAGGAACTCATAACCCTTCTTACTCATGCATCCGTGCGGTCATAGAGTGCACTTCTCCAGTTTTTCATAATTCACTCCCAAGCTACCTGTCAGACGAACTGGATGGTTACAGAAGCGCGCCATGTGAATTAACTGCCCGCATGTTACCGATTGAGAGGTATTTTAATACAAAATGAAGGCTCGCTTAGAGACATTTTTGGATCGGACTGACAGGCTCAAACGTTTTGAGACGTCAAAAACAATCTTGATAAAAAACTATACAGATTTTCACTTGGGCAAATGATGCAGTTTTAATCTGATAGTCGTAGATATCACTTCCCTATCTGCAAAAACGAACAGACTGGACTTGAGAACAGTTTCCGTTACAGCAGTTGTATATGGACGATTTTATTTCGTAATTTCATTGGGTAATTTTTTTAATCCTTGTGAAGTTTTATTTAATTCAGCTTAGAGCAGTAATTCTGAAACTTCTATAAACTATCCATCTATCAATCTATCTATCTCGGACAGCTAGACAGATTAACACACCTTTCGTTGTGCCACCACTTTCCACAAGTCCAACACAGTTCCAGATTTCTTAGCATCCAGAGCAGCCTTTGCTTCTTCGCGCCAGATTCTGAAGAGGTCTTCCTGAGTCATACCTGAAGAAGAAACAAAATTTATGAAATTATAGTCCCAGATCAAACTAAAGCTAAACAACAGAGTCCAGTCTCTCTTTAGGAAACAAAAAGCTTTCTAGCACATCGAGGAACTGGCCAGGTAAATATTGATTTAAAGAAGAAGTGATTGTTTAACCACAAAACGAACTGACAGTGGCCATAATGAATTACAGTCGAAACTAGTTTAATGAGCTCCTTGCTTTTAAAGAAAAAAGAGAAGAAAACTGATTTGCCATATATTTGCCTGGACTCATATGAGTCGCTAGCGTGCCAACCGTACAAATAGTAGATTCAATGGGAAGGTACGGGGTGCTTCCGGACCTCTTCCCTTCTCCCCTCCCTTCACCATCAGGTCGGCGAAAGACCAAACGACATAGCAGGTGCCAGTTTATCAAGCTAACAATCAGAGTAACAGGACCAACCTAGCCGACATGTTCTTACCGTATACGAAGAATAGCGTAATCAAAATCTATACCTTGCATGCTTGAGTAGCGAAGGTGTTGCTTTGGGAGTGAAATAAAGTTAAAATCGCAAGTAAAAGAGATTTCCCTTTTAAAAAGAGGATTGAGAGAGAAAAAAATCGATTTGCTCAGATGTTTCGTGACGTCAAAAGACTTCTTTTATATAAATATAATTCTGCCAACACCTTTACCTTCGTATTCCACAGTAAATGTGAGAAAATAATGCAGGCCAGTTCTTGGTACACATTCTACTAGACTAATATTGCTTTCTTCCCCAAGCCTGTCCCCAACAGTAGCAGCGAAATCTTCATATGCCCTAAGAGGGGTAAAAACGGTAGTAACGTGGATGCTGAAACCTTGCAACCATACGGCGGACTTAAAAAATGCATCCAGCTCTCCTGGGGCCTCCACACTGACGACTGGAAAGGACAAAAGAATTATTCGGAAAATAAATCAGCATGTGGAAGCGTGAAGCAAGTTCCAAAGAGGAAAATAAACTAAATAAACCTAAAAGAATCTCTTCATAGTGAGCTATAAAAATTCGCAGATATGATCTACAGTTGTACTTCTTTTGTCATCCTGAGTGTTCAGAAAAAAAGGAAGATCAAATTGTTCTTCAAATATCTTAAACATAAAAAAAGGAAAAAGTTGTAAATTGGAAAAAGTTTCAAATTCTTAAAATCCACATACGTTATTGCTTACCCCCAATCAGTCTTGGTTCTCCAGGAATCTGTAATCAAAGATTACGTCATATATAAGACTTAATTTATCCCTTGATGTCGTTATCCGCTGGTATTCTATTGAATCCGTAAATAATTCTTTGGATCGGAAAATATAACTTTAACACCAATATCCACCTTTCTTCATTGATTTAGAATGGTTCTTACAAACCTCCATTGGGAATTTCCTCAAACTTTTTTAAAAAAAGTTAAGTAAAGAAGGAAAATAACTTACAAAAATGTCTCAACTAGTGTCAACAGTCTTGTGTCACGCATTCCTTATTACCCATCCCGCCTTACTTTCACTACAACTTGCAAGCTTATCTCTCGTTTATCGGATTTTATAAAATTTGTTGAAAGTGCAACTCTACTAGTTGTTACACTGGCATACATTCCGCGCTTGACTCGGAAAAGATCAGTTATTTTCGAGTAATACGCTGATCATGAATCATATAATTATTAATTCTTCATTGTTTTCGCTCGCCACGAATGCATCCCCAATGAAGCGGCCAACATGTAATGAAGATAATATCTCACAGTCATTCATTTAGGGAGCTTCTTTCACTGGGTCATAAAAACAAAAAATATGGAAAAAACAACCTGAAGAGAATTCAAGGGCTCAAAATTAAATTATCAAGTATCAGACCTTCCAGAAATGTTTGATGGCTCCTTTCTCACTCAATCTTGTTTGAAGGAAAGCATTACAGAAAGAGCTACATAATGAATCATAATCCAATCCAGGAAATTTCGCTGTGGAATCGAAGAAGTAAAGCAACGCCATAACTTCTGTTACTTTTGTTCTCCGTAGTACATGAGAGAACAACACTCTGTGGAAATCTAATTGTGTCGCGCGCGAAAGAGAGCGAGACTGGGTTAGGGATGATTTAGTTTAACTAATAGATTCATATTACAGGTGTTACAGGTGTTTCATGTTCCTCGCGAAACCAAACACCGCGTAACACAACGCGTGACGCTTTCATTAATA